GGTCAAAGAAGTCTCAACTTCTAATAAATATGCTCTAAATTTTACACATAGTTTTTCAAGTGTTATAAAAGATATTATGACGTGATCTGATTAAAGCATAACATTTACTTACTGATTTATCAGACAGCTGCAAAAGAAAACCATTCTGTGCTTTAAAAAGTCACTTAGCCTAAGTTTTCCTGAGATGTTCATTTAAAAGCAGTGATACTTTTAAAATAAGAACAAATAACGATTTAATAATAATAATAACAATAATAATAATAATAATAATATATGTCCTCTTGTATTCAAATAAATGAATACATAAAAACACAAATAACAATTATAAAATAATGCATAACAAAACAGCAACAATAATAATAATATTCTATTGTATTCCATTAAGAATAAAAAAGAACATATAAAAATACAAGTAATGGCTACAAAACAATACCTATTTTGGAAACAAACAAACACACACACACACACACACACAATAAATGTATTTCATATGTATTTCCTTTTGTATTTCATCAAATATAAATACAATACATAATAATAATAATAATAATAATTGTCCTTCTGTATTCCAAAAAAATCTAAAGATATACAAGGTAAACTTAATAACTACAAATAAATACAGCAATACAGCAACATATTAACAACAAAAGAGTCATTTTGTATTCCATGAAAAATAAATACATACAATGATACATACTGCCACCCAACAAGAATAACATCAAGAAAAATATTAATATTAACCAATGAAAAAAAATTGTCTTCAATTTTACCAAATTGTAAGAGTACCGAAAGGCTTCAAAGCTAACAGACATGAGCTAAAGGCCGCACATCTTCGGTTTCTTTAAGCTATATCACGGAAAGCCCCTCACATCATCAAGCGTGTCACAAAAGCACCACAAAGATTAATGAGATGTTGATCGTTTTTTTTTAAAGCAATTATACATCAGGACCCCTGCCAGAATCCCGACACGTTGTGAGTCATTGTCTGAGTTACGGTCTTTTCATTAGCTCTTTCATTTTCACTAACCCCACAAGACTCCAGCGCTCACGTTTGGGGATACGGAGATGTAAACCACACCGCCATCCGCTCTCAAGGTTGAAGGTGAGCGAATAATAGACTGGGAGGGGAAAGAGAGAGTGACAGAAGGGAGAGAGAGACAGATGGAGGAGTAGATTGGATGTGAAAGGTAGATAGCAATTGCGTGAGCGTATGAGAGAGAAAGAGAGAGAGAACGAGTATATGTGGGTTGGAGAAAGAAGGAAGGACAGGTTTAGAGATTAATCTAACCTATGGCGTAATGAGGCCTCGGTCTGGATGCCTTCCTCCGCAAGGAGAGAGAAAAATCCAGTGTATTTATGCCAACTCGCCATCTAGCATATCTATTCCATGTCCAAGTGCCATCAGCCAGCTGTACCCCCGCCCCCAAAAATATAAAATAATGAAATAAAGTTTAACGGAGGGAAGCCCTATTAACTGACAGAGTACTTTCTTACCCTGGCGAGAGCAATCTCGTGGGTCGAGTTCTGAAATGACAATGTGCAATGACAATGCTGCCAACTTCCCTGACAAGGGTCTTTTATCAAGCTCTGTGGAAAGCCAGGTCCCAATCATTTCATTCCTGGAGCGGGAAAGAGAGTAAGCAACAGAGAAAGTGCGGATTTGAAATCCAACATACGCCCACTCAGACTCTACTTACTTCCTGTTGATGTGCATTTCAGTTGATGTCATGTTCGACAGCGTGTGAATTTCTGGCGGTAATTATCTGTGGAGGCTCATCTCATGCAACTTGAATTGTGTCTTAAACATATTTTCAACAAAACACTGAATGATATATTTGCTATGTATATAAATATTCAATAAAGTGATAACATCAGCACTTATGGTTTGTCATTGATCCTAGACAAGACACATTACACTTAAAAAAAAATGATAAAACCATTTTTTTTAAGGTGAGTGGTTGCAAACAATTTATTTTAGCTACATTTAAATGATAAAAAAATGTTGAAAGTTAGTCAACTAAATTTGTTTATTTAAATGTAGCTAAAAAACCTTTAAAAAAAAATCAAAAATCAATGAATCATTTTTTTCAGCGTACTGGGTTAACATATATATGTTAGCTACCTAAAACTGAAATTATATAAACACTTTTTATAATTGAAATAAAACATAAATATTAGATGAAATATGTAACCGCACAAAAAAAACATAAATAAATACAATAAATTAATTAAAAGTACCAAAATCACTAAAACACTACTAACAATAAGAAAAGCACATAACAAAGTGACTAAGACTAAAATTAAAATTAATACTGAAAATACAAACATTAAAGCATTACTGTTACAGCAAAATTGCTATAAATACTATAATAGTATAGGAATAGTACCAAAATAATACTACCAGAGTCACTTTTGGCCCCGTGGAATAATACAAAAATAAAAAAAGAATAATTAATACAAAGTTTTCACATTGGCACTAGGCAGGGTAACAGTGTTTAAAACATAAATAAATAAACAAAATACTCTGCATATTGTGTATTCTGCTTGTTTGACATACAGATGTGAAGCAACATTTTGGACCAATGAGATTTCTCAGTGCACTCACCAAAATATTTAGGATGCAGTTCAAAATCATGCATTTGAACTGCATATACGATTTCCATCCATTTGGATTGCAGTTTTAACATAAGCTAATAAACTTAATGTGATGCATATTTGCCATAAATGAAACTAGTAAGATGTTTAAAATTAAATAATAAATAAAAATGACAATGTATTATTAACCTTTTGCATGTATTTGATTTTATTTGAATAATCATCTTTTTAAAATGAATATTGTTTTCAAATTATGGTTTATTGTGAAAACAACAAAATTGATTCAGTAACATAAATTATGTCTAGCTTTAACAAACAATATTCTATTAGTTAAAATGTCTGAGAAATTGGATTTATTGATGATTAAAAATATTCTGCATATCTCCTCCCACTGAATTTTTGTGTAGTTGCAAGGAGCAAAAACAAACAAATAATAAACAATGCTAGATCCCACACTTGCATAATTTGATTGGAAATGACACGTAATAAAATATTATTTTTCTTGATTTCCTGTTTCTTCAAACACCGTGTTTCATCTCAAACATGCTCTTGCTTGACACTGTCGTATCCATGGGAACCAAGTTCACTTGATGATAAAAACATCATTAGTGTCAAAACTGCTGGTCATGGTGCAAATGACTTCAAAACAACAGACACTTTTGACAGAAACATATAAAAATGGTCAATGATTATTTCACTCTTTCTTCAGATCATAAAAGTTATATAAATGTAATAAGTGTTTGATGGATTTTCATGTTTTAAGGGCAAAACAATAAAATACACATATTAAGGGCCTTTCGCACCGCTTTATTTCCAGAACTAAATGTACAGTACTAAAGTACTGGGATGATTTTGCGCGAACTATGTCCCAGTACCATTTAAAGGGTTGCATTCGCACCGACAGTGTGTACTAAGAAGAGACGTAAGCCGGTCGACAGCGACGTCATTTGTGCGCGGCATTCAACAACGGAAACAAAGAAGAACAACATTAACAACAGGAGGATGGAGGACGCTGTGATCAGAGCTGTTTTTGTTGTGTCTCGCGGGTTTCACAATAATGAACATGGAAAGTCGACGTATACGTAAAGCGATTGAAAGAACGGAAAGGAGGACTAAGAATCTCCAACGACAACTGGCAGTGCTACATTTGCTACAAGTGACTGCACTTGAGCGTCCGTCCATCTATCGCTGTTCTCCATACTTGCGAAATAAGTTGACACAATGTTTACAGTATGTTTACACGGCGTTTTAAATCATGGCGGGTGAGGGCGTTTTCATACGCGTTTGGCCAATCAATGTCTACTTACGTCACGATTAGTACCAGTTGTGCTGGTTAGACCCTGCTCCGGAGTAGGAGCTAATTTGGTTCTCGAAAAAGGCAGTCCGGTACTAAAATCGCACCCAGTTCCGGCGGTGCGAAAACGCCAAAAAGTGGGTAGTTCCACAATTAGTTCTGGTACTATGAAAAGGTTCCCACGGTACGAAAGGCCCCACAGTATTTAGAAAATTAGTGTT